CATACACGTGTATTTGCACCGACAACTGAAACATTGTAAATCAAAATGAAATAGCTACTAAAGTAACTATTGAGAAATGTAGATGTTCATGAACATACGTACCGACATATTGTGTGGTTGTACATAGAAGTGCGAATATTGCTAAGAGGGCCAGAGTATAACGGTGGTTCAACCTATCACACCCATCCTCGTCTTGACGCGGAGATATCTTAGCAACTGCAGAAACTGCATCAAAGAATTTATCCATGTTGGCACGACTGTATTTTGATTAGTTCTTAATGAGTAGTTTCCTTTATGAATGGTACTTTCCTTTCTGTCTTTTTGATCTTAATTGTTTGATACTTTTGTGTGATATCAATTTGTTTTTAATTGTGGATGTATTGATATATGAATCCTATTTTGCTCAAATACCCTAAAGTGTTTTAAACTTTACATGTACTTCTTCCTACCTTATTTAAAGGTTGTATATTCAGGACTTATCTATCCAAATAAGCATTTGCTGACCTAATTTATTCAAATATTACTACCTCAACTTCTTTAGTCTCATATTTTTCTCGTAAATGAAAAATCATAAAATTGCACACTTCAAATTTTTATTATCAAAAGATGATATTATTTCGCCCACTTCCTTTTGAGTGTTGAATGAAAATTGTATACTTCCCATGTCCATTGCACCATTTGCATTTTTATTTTGGCATGTTTGGCTTTGTATCGATATACCCCGTGGTACAAAAACTTGGTATTTTAGCCTTAGTCATTAAGAAAGTAATACATCATCGTTCAACCATTTTGTCCAGTGGCGAGTTTATTTTTTGGGAACTTGTTTTTTACTCAAATTACACATGTGAATACATATATTGGTCACCCAAGCGTTTTATAAACTCCTTTGAAAGATGCCTGAAAGACATTCAACGCAGAACTCGATTAATTCAACTTAAATAATATATTAGTACATATTTTACATACAGTTTCAATATTTTAAATGTACAACCACGCACCATAAAATAAGCATACCTCACATTTAACTATTCAATAAAGAACGCTTCCTGAAAAATGATATCATATTTTTTATTTATTTAGGCTTGGTCTAAAGGAAACAAACGTCATCATGAACTGTCAGATTTAAAAAAAAGATTTATTATACTCTTATGTACTGTAATCTTTTCTGATAAGCCTTTTCTGATTTTGAGAAGCTACGGCCGTCGTACGGTTTTTGTAGGTCAAATGCGACTGAGGCATTACTCAGCAGGATTAAATTGATTCGTTTGAAAGCATTTTGACAAAAAGATCCATAATGATTTGTGCCTGTGTTGAAGCTTTTTTGTCAAAATAGTGTAACGAAGCAATTTAAAAACACGATGTGTTACTCTAACCATAATCTTACAGAGTATGAAAGTCAACACCAAATTATTATTCAACACAAACTATTATTGTTTTTATACAATTCAGTTATACTATACTATAATTGGGCGAAGGAAGAATACGTAGGAAGGTCAATGAACTGCGCAGGAAAATGAATCACCATACGGTATTTTTAAGTCACTACCAATAGGGGAAGCATAATGTAGCCATCGTAACGGGCGTTTGGTTTCTGTAACTAATTGTTACATTTTTTGTAACTACTGTATTTGCAATAACTTACAAGCTGGTATTGACATATTGTCCTTTTAAAATTGGGCTGGAAAGTATGTATACTTTGTGAAAGTTAAGACTGAGTATTATGTCAATGAAATCAACTTAAAGGTTAAGCACGCAATTAAAGACGCTCGAGAGCAAATCGAGGAAGACAAGCCCAAAGGCAGAATACATCACGACATCTCTGGCAAATGACCAGATTAAACGAGATGAACATCAACATTTTTATATTTTCTGAAAGGTGAAAGTATATCAGATATAAATATATAAATACCGTTTGATATAAAAAATATACATTTTGATACTCATCAAATCAACAAATAGCAACGATTTAAGTTGCCAGTTCGGTCAAGAAAGGTGTACAAGGTGGTCCAAAAATGCAATTCTATTTTTTGATAATAAAACCTTTTTAATCTAGATATGCTTTCATACTTAGTCATTCAAATATTCTCTGTAAATGTTTTGTTTCTGAACCATTAACTGATTTTTAATCCACATCCTAAATGATACCTTATAAGAAAATGCAGACCGCAATGAATAAATAATGAATGAAATAAATGAAACACGAATACGATCACATTTTGTTCATATCGTATCAGCTAGTTTGCTTTATTTGCCATCTATTTTTCCTCAAAAAAGTAATCGAATCGAAAGTTGAAGATCCATATCACGATGTCTGCATTGAATTCGAATAAATTTTGTATTCTTAAATTTGAATTAAGAATCAAATCAACCATAGATTAATTATACTGTGAAAATTGTTTTCTTCATTTGAATACACAGACTTACTCTAACGGATTGGAAATATATATGTTACTGTGTATTTGTAGGAAAATAATATTTTGATTTTCAAAGAAGTTATAAATTGACCTCCAGGCCCAAATCAGTCATTATGTAATGTTCTATAGATTACATTCACAAAATCCAACTTACCAACGTACTGTTGAGTTGTCACTACGATTACTAGAATGGCGATGACCATAAAGGTGTAACGATGGTTAAGTCTGTCTATGGTATCATCGTCCCTGTTACCCTCGAGCGCTTTAACCGCCCCAGCTACTCCGATGAAACTCTGCATGTTTGAAGAAGTAAATCCTTTTTTCTTTTTTTAAAAGCAATTGACTGTCTCAGTTATTGAAGCAACGTTTTATTTTCAGATTTGGATCTAACCATGGTCTTTTAATAATCCGATATGATTATTTCACTGGGTATCTCATATGTAGGGCCCACTCGAGTACCAAAATAGAGACACTTTAGCACACTTTGAATTAGTATTATTATCAGTTCACATGAGTGTTTGTAGTAATTAGTCATCCTCAAAGTATAATCAAAATAATTTAAAATCAATGATTATAAATTTTCATTTGACGTTAACATTTTTGAACTTCAACGTTATTTAATTGAGTATAAGTTCATAACATGCAATTGTGTCTGACGTAAAAGGATGTGTAACAACCGACAATGTCATGTTCGATTTCAACATTTCGGGTCGTAATCTCATTTCTTCACAGAGCACACCTAGAATCAACTTGACACAAGTGCCAGGTTGTAGTAGATGTGACTGATATCTATTCTACAGGTCGGAAGTAATGTATTTCCGGACAAGTGGTAGAGGGTTTTGCAAAATAACTTCAATTAGTAATTGGCGACTTTGGAACAAAGTCAATGTTTCTCCCAAACGAACTGCTCATTCAGGAGTTGACTGCAGAGAACTGAGTACTAATAAAAACTCATGGTTCGTTGATATTGTGCCGTGTTAGTTACTCTTTTGTGTACACTGGTCGTGTTAGTTACTCTGTTGTAAACACTGATCGTGTTAGTTACTCTGTTGTGAACACTGGTCATGTTAGTCACTCTGTTGTAAACACTGGTCGTGTTAGTTACTCTATTCTGTACACTGGTCATGTTAGTTACTCTGTTGTAAACACTGATCGTGTTAGTTACTCTATTCTGTACACTGGTCGTGTTAATTACTCTGTTGTAAACACTGGTCGTGTTAGTTACTCTGTTGTAAACACTGGTCGTGTTAGTTACTCTGTTGTAAACACTGGTCGTGTTAGTTACTCTATTCTGTACACTGGTCGTGTTAGTTACTCTGTTGTAAACACTGGTCGTGTTAGTTACTCTGTTGTAAACACTGGTCGTGTTAGTTACTCTGTTGTAAACACTGATCGTGTTAGTTACTCTGTTGTGAACACTGGTCATGTTAGTTACTCTGTTGTAAACACTGGTCATGTTAGTCACTCTGTTGTAAACACTGGTCGTGTTAGTTACTCTATTCTGTACACTGGTCGTGTTAGTTACTCTGTTGTAAACACTGATCGTGTTAGTTACTCTGTTGTGAACACTGGTCATGTTAGTTACTCTGTTGTAAACACTGGTCATGTTAGTTACTCTGTTGTAAACACTGATCGTGTTAGTTACTCTATTCTGTACACTGGTCGTGTTAGTTACTCTGTTGTAAACACTGATCGTGTTAGTTACTCTGTTGTGAACACTGGTCATGTTAGTTACTCTGTTGTAAACACTGGTCATGTTAGTCACTCTGTTGTAAACACTGGTCGTGTTAGTTACCATATTCTGTACACTGGTCGTGTTAGTTACTCTGTTGTAAACACTGATCGTGTTAGTTACTCTGTTGTGAACACTGGTCATGTTAGTTACTCTGTTGTAAACACTGGTCATGTTAGTTACTCTGGTGTGTACACTGGTCGAGTTAGTTACTCTGTTGTAAACACTGATCGTGTTAGTTACTCTGTTGTGAACACTGGTCATGTTAGTTACTCTGTTGTAAACACTGGTCATGTTAGTCACTCTGTTGTAAACACTGGTCGTGTTAGTTACTCTATTCTGTACACTGGTCGTGTTAGTTACTCTGTTGTAAACACTGATCGTGTTAGTTACTCTGTTGTGAACACTGGTCATGTTAGTTACTCTGTTGTAAACACTGGTCATGTTAGTTACTCTGTTGTAAACACTGGTCGTGTTAGTTACTCTATTCTGTACACTGGTCATGTTAGTTACTCTGTTGTAAACACTGGTCGTGTTAGTTACTCTGTTGTAAACACTGGTCATGTTAGTTACTCTGTTGTAAACACTGGTCGTGTTAGTTACTCTGTTGTAAACACTGGTCGTGTTAGTTACTCTGTTGTAAACACTGGTCGTGTTAGTTACTCTGTTGTGAACACTGCTTTTGTTTAAGTTTTTTTTTGTACGTTACTTTATCGTAAACACACACTTATTGGGGAAGTTACTGCTTTATGTAGTACATCCTTAGGTTCATACATAGTTCAGTAAAAATTAGAGAGATTTTGCCTTTTGTTTGATGATCTACCTTTTTAAGTTCTAAATTACGGAGACAAAATGACGTTTTAAAATTTATTACTACTTTTGATTAAATATTACAGCACTAAAATTGATCATAATAACAATTATAGACGAGAAAAGAAAATATACAAAGAAAATGTAACAATTATTGGAAAACTCATTTTAATTTGAGATGCAGAATTTCTCCTCGAAGTTTCCCCTTTTATATTATTGTTTCGTCTCCTTATATAGGATGTGTCGTCTTTGCTTGGTTTGTCCATAGTTTCATTCTCATCCGTATTTGCATTCGTCATCTTTTTCTTCCCTGATTTTCCGAGTTTTACGAATTGCGTCTTTGAGTTAAGTGTTGCGTTCCCAGGGTTTTTGGTAGACAAGTTCCTATCAGAGAAACGACAACGTTCTGTATCGCAATGGCCCTTCTTATTGAGACGAACTTTAGGCTGAAATCTTCTTTTCATGCCAGGTTTAAGTCGTCTTCCTTTACCTTTACCCTTAGCCTTTGGGGGATCCGTGGTGAAGTCAAAATCTTCTGGGAGTCCATCACCGGTGTTGCAACCGTCCTCAGTACACGCCGTGAAGCATGCCTCGTATTCGCCATCTCTGCTGCAGGCGTTCCCTCTAGAGTGCTCCTCACACTGACGAGAAAAAGAAGCTAGTTCCCCAGTTTCTAAAACACAAATTTTGTAGATTTTATAAATCGAAGACTGAATAGCAAAAACGATAATCTATTATCTGGAAGACATATATAATATAGTATAGTACTTAGTGCAGGTTAGCATATACGTTAACTCTAATGTATCCTAATTAGAATGTGAACAGCTGAACATTTTAGAAAATAATTGACATTACGTCAGTATGTACCTACCGATAGTTGTCCTCTTGTACCACGATCGCAACATTGTCACGATAAAGAGTGTTTGGGTCTATATGTATCTACCTATGTTTGTCCCCGTGTAATGTAGCACACTACAGTGTGTCTCAAAAACGTTACACTTACAAAAAGTTCAATATATTTCATGATTTTGACTTTTCCCCTAAAATATGCTTAGATACCAAAAGACAAGTCTTTCTCGAATAAATCCACATCATCAGATTCAAAATCCGTCTATGATTGGCTACACAGGACAGATTTTAAAGACGCACGTGAAATCTGATTTGCGCCAACTTTTCAGTGGTTGGACAATTCTTTTTTTGTGTAAATGATGTGGACAGTGATATCTTGATTAATCAATGATCCAGTTGTTTCTTTCCTGGATAGAAATACAAGATTTCATTGTCAGAGTGTTCAATTTTGTTACGTATGATGGCAATAGGATGGTGCAAAGGTCTATGGCAGAATGTTTGGTAGAACTCTTTGGAAATCAAAAGATAGCATTGAATTACCCCATGGATTGGCCCCCAGAGACGTCATCCTACTTTACACCCTTGATTTTTTGAAGGGCCTCTGAAAGCGCTTTAATTACAGCATCACAAACTGACCTAAATGAACTTCTGCAGAAATAATTGATGGGATCAGTGTGATATTGCATGTGCGCATGGGCAAGGGTACCTCAGATTTGCTTTGGAGAACATGTTGAGGAGACCACATGTTTAAGTGGATAGACCCAATGATCATATGTAAGACAAATAGGAAAATTACAGAATGACTCAGTTAAAGGTCAAGCTTCTACTCAAAAGAAAGTTAAATGTTAAAGAAACTATTCCTCTTTTGTCATTTGGTCCATCCAATCACTTAGATGTTGGCGCAAGTCAGATTTTACCATGGAACACTAAAAGCTGTCCCGTAGAGCCAATCAAGGACAGATTTTGAATCTGATGGTATCCAAAGTATATTTAAGGGGAAAAGTCAAAATTATGAAAGATATTGAACTTTTTGTAAGTGTAACATTTTTTTGAGACACATTGTGCAGACAATGCTTGGGTATTTGCTGTTGGCTTTGCACCTACCAATATTTGTCTTCTTGTATGTACTGTATTATTTGACATTGTTTGGGTACTTGCTGTTGGCTACTGTATGTTCATTTTTGCGGTTGGCTATGTACCTACCGATATTTGTCCTCTTGTATGTAGAACATTATTTGACATTGCACGGGTAATTGCGGTTGGCTATGTACATACCGATATTTGTCCTCTTGTATGTCGTGCAGAATTTGACATTGCACGAGTAATTGCGATTGGCTATGTACCTACCGATATTTGTCCTCTTGTATGTCGTGCAGTATTTGACATTGCACGGGTAATTGCGGTTGGCTATGTACCTACCGATATTTGTCCTCTTGTATGTCGTGCAGTATTTGACATTGCACGGGTAATTGCGGTTGGCTATGTACCTACCGATATTTGTCCTCTTGTATGTCGTGCATTATTTGACATTGCACGGGTAATTGCGGTTGGCTATGTACCTACCGATATTTGTCCTCTTGTATGTCGTGCAGTATTTGACATTGCACGGGTAATTGCGGTTGGTTATGTACCTACCGATGTTTGTCCTCTTGTATGTAGAACATTATTTGACATTGCACGGATTATTGCGGTTGGCTATGTACCTACCGATATTTTTCCTCTTGTATGTCGTGCAGTATTTGACATTGCACGGGTAATTGCGGTTGGCTATGTACCTACCGATATTTGTCCTCTTGTATGTCGTGCAGTATTTCACATTGCACGGGTAATTGCGGTTGGCTATGTACCTACCGATATTTGTCCTCTTGTATGTCGTGCAGTATTTGACATTGCACGGGTATTTGCTATATGCAACTCTCTGTGGTTTGTAGATGCAGGTTGGATCAAGGTTCGGCACGTTGGCTTCGGCTGTGTAGATACAATGGTAGCACCAATTCACTCCTTCAACTATTGGAAAGTCTTAAAAGTAGGCATGGAATGATTAGAGCAATAACTATTGTAGAATTGTTAACAGGGTTTCGAAACTTACTCTAAACTTACTCTACACAGTCTTTGTTACACACGTTTTTACGAATCTGCTCATATAAGTCATATTTGATTTGATTATTTAATTTAAAAATCAGTTCCGATCCTGCAACTTGGACAAATAACATGGCTTTCAAATTTTGTAAGATTTCTACTTGTGACTGCCATGCCACCCAAGATCACACTACAGGGACACGTTTTCACTGTAACATGATGGACAAAAAGGTGTGTAAAATTGAGCTATTAGTGTATTTGGACTTCACTTCCACAGTTTTGGTTGAAATAACGTCTGAATGAATACATACATTTTTGGTGAGGCAATTGCCTCGCTTGCCTCATAACTGGCTTCGCCCAGGGCAATGATTTACAATATACAAGGTGTTCAAAAAAACGCAACCCAAAGAAATCGCTATATCTTGGAAAATACTAATCCAATTATGTTCATATTTTCAGGAAAGAAAGAAGAGACTGTGTATGTATAGCCCCTGTTGTTAGTTAGTTGTAAAACATGATGTCTTGGACACTTGCTCAAAAGACACTTGTACTAGCAAAATACGAAAAACGTGAATGGAAAATCACTTTATCTTGGAAAATACTGATTCAATTTTGTTCTTTTTTCAGGAAAAGAAAGAAGAGACTGTGTGTGTACGTATAGCGCCTGTTGTCAGTAAGTTGTAAAACATGATGCCTTGGATACCTGCTCAAATGACAGTTGTACTAGGAAAATATAAAAACGCAGTGAGAGGTGACTGCCACAGCAATAAAACCAAATAACTTGGCACTTCAGATTTGGCACAAATTATCCTCATTCAATTGTACATGTGTGGTGAATTTGTGGAGTTTCATCAAAATTACTCCAGGGACATCGCGATAGCCGCGCCCCCTTTGTCTTTTTCCTTCCGCAAACGGCAGATAAGAGGGGCTCTGGCATACCAGAATGCTCCAGGGACTTTACAGTCATGGTCAAAATGCCTTCTTAAATCTCCCTGAACCAGGGCGTTTGACTGCGATTTGAAAGCATTTCGACCATGACTGTAAAGTCCCTGAAGTGATTTTGATTCCTCTCTATAGATTTACCATACAGTGAATGAAGATGATTTACGCCAAATTTGAATCTAGCCAAAACACTATGGTTAGGGAGTCACTTAGTTTTTTTCCGGTTGCAGTCACCCCTGACTGCGTTTTTCGTATTTTCCTAGCACAACTGTCTCTTGAGCAGGTGTCCAAGGCATCATGTTTTACAACTAACCATTTACAAGAGCTATACATACACAGTCTCTTCTTTATTTCCTGAAAATATGAACATAATTGAACCAGTATTTTTCAAGATATAGCGATTTCTTTGGGTAGCGTTTTTTTGAACACCCTGGAATAGAAATCTTTACTCACCTATGCTGAAGAAAACTCCTAGAAACAGACAAATCCTAAAGTTTTTCCAAACAAGATTCATTGTTAATGATGTTATATATTCTACCATTTTAACACGTTAAATCATTTTAATTGCGATGTACATATAACACAATTTAATGTTGTTTAATAAGATAATTTCGTTCTCACAAACATGGTACAGTGTATTTAATTTGCAATGACAACAGCTGTCCCGTCAATGTGACAGTATGTGTAAACTCAGTATTGGGGAGCATGTGTTGAAGTATTATATACTGCTTTATGTTTGGATTGAATTATTCCTTATACTGTATATGGATATTCAAACGTTACTCCAGGAAGGTTTAATTAGTCTCAAGAATACGCTCTTTTATCTTTCAATGTTCCAAAAAAGTTCATTGAAAAATGAAACAACAAAGCCAGTGATGACTACATTACTTTCATTATGTACCATAAAGCCACGTCTCTCCTCTTTGGAATGGTATGTCATTCATTCACATGACGTCATGGTTGGGTGAAAAATCATTACATTTGCACTGTAGGCCAAAATCGACTTTGGATGAAGTTTCAGATATTGCGAAAGTCAGTGCAAGGGCTAAATGCTAATGGTAGTTCTCCTGACCTGACTTGATGTGACTTTTTCTTTTGGAGCTCATGAGCACCTCAGGAGCAGAGTGGTCACCATTCCTCCACCAGATACTGATAAACGTCGAGAAAGAATCGCTAATGGGCTGCCGTTCTCCACCTGAATCCACAGATGACTTTGGGCTGAGCCATGCATGGCATAGAGAGATGAGCCAATTTGTGTATGCAAAGAAATGGTGGCCATAGTGAGGGGTATGGGATGCAAGGTTGCAAGAGCATGAGTATAAACACTTAACTTTCTATGTCACACCTTTCTCATCTTCCAATAGCACAAATGCACCGAGCACTGACTTTTGCAGCAATGTTTAAAACTCGGTCCTGAGCTCGAGCTGATTGCAAAAAGAAGAAATGTGGCTTTGTGGTACATTGAATGAAAAGGATGTAGTCATCACTAGTTTTATGGTTTCTTCCCATAGCACCTGGCCCAGTTCACTGACTTTTGCGATGCTTATAACTTGGTCAAAAGTTAATTTTGGTCCTTTGCAAAAGGAATGATTATTCGCCCAACCATAACTCAACATCAATAGAATTGACATGCCATTGGTAAGAGGAGACACATGGCTTTATGGCACATTGAATGAAATCAATGCTATTATCACTGACTTTATGATTTTCAGAGACAACAGTTTGTTGCGTTTTTTGATACGCATTGACTATGGGAAATAGTGTATTAATCATTAAAATGATGTTCAGTTGGCATTTTATTTGCTTCTTTATTCATTAAATAGATTAAATCTCTTAAATACTATGTGCATTAAATTACATATTTTATTTGCTAAATGATATATTTCTTGCGTAAATTGTTATGGTATTCCTTAAGAGTAACACATTATATCCGCAATATCGAATTTCTGTTTGAACCCTGTCGATATTAGTTTGTCTGTACTTATCAAATGATTTATTTTTCTATAACATACTTAATGCATTTTACCGAAAGCTAATTTGCTATTTACCGAATCCAACAAAGCAATATTCGATAACTTTCGTTGTTGTTCGATATTTTGTCACGTGACCTCGAGTTTTGCAAAATGGTCGCACATCTATTCTACATGGTTTTCATTCTCACGTGATTGAAAGTCTCGTAAAGTAACGAGAAATAACGAAATTTATCGAATATGTTATTCGATACTTACCGAATATAAATTCAAATACCGAAAGTATACGTGCGTTAAGGAAAACAAATTGATTCGCTGAATCGCACAAATACATGTATGAATATCAAATGTAAATGCCAACACAAAGAACAAGTGAAACTATTATTTATAATTAGTGAATATAAAATGTATAGATTATTATATTCGATAAAATAAAAAGAACATTCGATAGACTGCTGGGTAAAGGTTTGGTAAATTGCTTTGGTATGTATGGAATATTTAATGAATATTTAATATTTCATATATTTACATAAGAGATATTACAAGCTATACTTCAGAATGAACATGGATCGTTTTTGAAAATGAAACATATAGAGCTTGAAAAATCTTTTTCGGCTTCAGTAAAGTTGGTCTTTGAGTTTAGCAAGTTTTATCACCGTGGCATGTTTATCTTTCAGGATAAGAGCCATATCTACCAATGGATCCGCTTGTGTCGTCAATAACATCGCACAAAGTGTGCACGTCTGTTTTACGCGGTATATGGCATACATTCATGGTTGCGCGGTATTTGTGACACAGGTGAATATGCCATACTCACCTGCGGTATATGGCATATTCCGCAGGTGAGTATGCGATATTCCGCAGTGAATATGCGATACATTGATTTCAGTGAATATCCGATACGCACCTGCGGAATATGACATACTCACTTGCGGAATATGCCATACACCGCAGGTGAATATGACATATACCGCAGGTGAAAACGTGATACAGAAAGCCTTGATTTGATTGGTTGCGAGAATCGACTCTAAATGTAAAACTACGCTGGATTACCAATATAGTTAGTTAGTATATGAATCCTGGATTGATTCAGTAAGTTTATTACGCGAGATTGGTGAATGAAACTTCTGCTAAGTTAATATATTCGATACACAGTACTGTTGATTCAGTAATCATTATATTAATCTATAACGTTTTACTTGTTCGTTCAATGGATGCAGTTATTGACAATTGCGTACTTCCGTATCACGTTCTCATTTGTTAGTGTGTATGACATATACCGCAGGTGAATCTGTCATACACCGCAAGTGAATATGTCATATTCGTTGCGGAATATGACATATATTTTGTATCGAGTTTACCGCGTAACAGTCTGATCGAAACTTTGGGCAACAAAACCAAACAGTATCCAAACACTATATATGATATAAATGACCACTTCTGAACTAAGGTTCCAATGTACCGTTGGAAAGCTGAAAGGGTCAGCTATAAGAATCTGACCTCTATTTGAATTTTTAGTGAATGCAAAATTAGATATTAACGCTTTCATCCCCAAGGGTCATTTATTAATTTTATGAAAATCAATTTCAAATTGACAACTACCCCCTTTGGCCAGAATGGATTATTTTTAGGTTTACAATAACTAATTCAATGTCAAATTATACTTTGGAGAACATTTAAAAGTTTGAACCAAGATAGGGGTCATTAAGTTCAGTGGCCCCGTTATGCTACAAAATGCTTCAGAATTTTTGTTTTCGGTCGAAATGAGATTGGATATTTGAAAAAAGTGTGTAGTTCCAATACACCGTTGGAAAGCTGAAGGGTCAGTTTAGAATCTGACCTCCAATTGAATTTCAAGCGAATGCAAAATTAGATATTAACCCTTTCATACCCAAGGGGTATATCCTGTATGCAATTAAAGTACACTCTCTTGATTTATATGAAAAATGATGATGTAAAAAAGAAACTTGGCATTGTTTTTATGGGTATTTGGGTGGTAATTTCAAAGAGGAAATTTAATCATAACCACAAAATGAAAACATCATAATTATATACTGTTGTGTTGCCTAGACCACAACATTTGTTGTTATGGATATTTAGATTGAAAATAGAAATCGATTGGACAAATATATTTTGATTGAAAAAGCACGATCGATTTCTTAATTTAACCCCTAGTTAATGAAAGGGTTAATATCTAATTTTGCACTCAGCGAAAATTCTAATGTAGGTTGGATTCTTAAAGCTGACACTCTCAGCTTTCCAACGGTGTATTGGAACCTAAGTGCAGAAGAGGCAATTTAAAAATCACTAAGGAGCGCACTTGGAGGCTCTATTTTGCTCAAGTATATAAGATTCACAAAACATACATTCATACGTAGTACATATTTTATAGAAATTAAAATTGTGTCCTGTTACATACCTTTATATGCGAACAAAATGTACAATAATGTTCTTACATCGTACACAAACCGTTTAATTGTTTAATCTAACTATTTATATAAGTTGAAGTTATACAGCACAGATGAAATGTTAGTTCAACCTTTATACGAATAAGAAATACTGAATCCCAAAGAACAATGGTACATATTAACATCGTTTTGACTGACCTTAGTTGTGTTTGGCTTTCACAGTTCAGCGTTTTTAACAGAAGATTTTGGTCAAATATGCACATTGTTTGGGATTCCCTAGTCAAAGATCATGTGACTAATAATCAGAAAGAGGCTATGACCTTTAAGCTCCTCCAATGGAGACGCTAGGGGAATTTTAATATTCTTAGTTCCACTTATTTCTGACGGTTTTCTACACTAAATTTCTTTCTAGCAAAAGAATAACTATTGTGTAATTACTATGTACAGAACGCGAAAATAACTATTTTCAAAAGTAGGTCAAATTTTCTCACAAGTTTAATATGCCAGATTGCTCTGAGACATGCAAGAAAATATGTACACAAACCTATTTTGCCGACGTCATCAACTTCAGTGCGCAATTCTGAACTGGGTGATGCAAAATCTATTTCAATGTACCCACTTCAATATGAGAAATCTCCTATACCCTTCAGTACTATGAGTTGAATATATCCTAATATCAAGGTAAGACAATGTTCTTCATGTGATATGAAATATTTTTGCTAAAATTGCCTTTAACTCGAGCTGTATTACTTTAAATGCAAGAATGCAATTAACTTTACTTTAACAAATGACATGGACAATCGTGGAAATATGTTCCTCACACAGTGAAATGCGTACTATTCAAAGCTTCCTTTGTGTAAATATTGAAGCGAGAAGAGATAACCCACAGAAAAAGCTATACACGTTCAAAGATCGCTACCAGCGTGAGCAAACTTTTCACAAAGGTGATTTTAAATTACTTTGAATGAATATAGATGGCGAATATGATCAACACTTTGAATTAAATGAATCATGACGTAGATATTTTTGCCACCTGACGTTTGACATTTGAAAAATATGGCATAAAACTTTAACGGATCGAAAATATTTAATTTTGACAATTTATTGTACGCCCGATGCGGCCATTTTGGACTAGAATGAGATTGAGTACTTTTCAATCCATTGGGAATAAATATAATACGGCGATGAAATGTAACATAATGGTAAGTCTTTTTTGCTATGGAACACTTAAAATACGCCATTTTAAGTAACAAAGCGTAAAATGTCACCATCTGTCATTTGTTACAGACGCCATGTAATAGACGCCGAAACCCCTCCCGTAGTCACAAAAAGTTAGTCCAATTGTTTTCGGTCAGACACATCCTGTCCTCCTAAATTAGTCTGAGACTTCTGATTACATTTATAATTTAATTATTAATGACTGATTGGAAAATTACATCGTTCTGATTTGATTAAATGCATCTGTTTGATTTTCTAATAAATCGACAAGTTTTCGCTGTCCAAGAAATAAAAACATGCATATCTTGACTAAATTTATACATCCAGAGTAAATTAAGTAATTATATTATGATTAGCTATGTTTCTTTCAAACATATCAGACACGTCTCGTTTTTCTTAAATTAGTGAACGTTAGATTTCAGTCAATGCGAAATGGACATCCCTTTAGAATAACTTATCTGAACCATGTTTGTGTTTAAGCGACTTTGTTTAAAACTTATGATGTTTAATGAAAAGTATGACGGGTTAATTTTCAAATATGACTATTCACTGTTCAAACTGAGAGGTGTTCACTTTTCAAGGTTTTTGAACATGGAAGTCATTGAAAAAGAGAAGGGGTGAAAATATGTGTTTGGATTGAAAGGTGTATGATTTAGCTAGGTGTTCGGATATCCAGGTTGTTCTCGACTTAACCCCAATGTAATATATACATTTTATTCCCAGAGATTCTTAGTGACGATACGATGCAATACTAGTCACCTGTAATCCATTCATCCGAGTCTGGATTTATCATATCTGGCATGATATTAGCAGATGAATGAGTATATTAAATTAAAAATAGGCATCACAATAAAAAAAATTGAACGTACATATCACAAAAAAAATCTTCGAAAAGATGTTTCAAAATTAGTCGGTGGTATTTTTGTGTCACCCTGCATATTTAAGTATACTTTTATGATATTTATACTGGAGTACAACATTTTTGTACTTTATAAAAATGTATCAACGTTACAATTTCTGATTATTAATATTAATATCATATTGTACTTAAAGCATCAGGGTTGAGTTGACCTTGGGATGATTTTACCAAGATTCGAAATTACTTGACTTGCTGGAAGCTCAAGTATGACAAAATGACAAATCGCAAATCATTTTAATACAAACACTAATCAGCCACAAGCAGTCACGCCTACGACTTAGCGTAAGTACTGAACTGATACGGTGATAAATAGACTCCACTGTTTAAGTGTGGTAAGATTGAGGAATGATAATCAGGATGCCCTGGTGATGCATGCTCGATTCCGCCCATATGTTTGCCCAGGCATGTTATTTTTCGCCTCGACATGCCTGTCATTGCCAAGGCTTGTTTGACCACACCCTTACGTGTGACACAGAAAACAAGTCTTAACATCAATATATTAGTTACATTGAATAATTTATGACCATTAAATATACATATGTGAATAAAACACAATAAAGTGATTCAAAAGATTTTGCATGGAGTCCTTTAGCAATATTACAAGGTCTATTTCCATAGCCACAATTCTGACCATCTCTTTTGTATCCTCGTCGACGATTACCTCTACCATTCCTTTTACCATCAAGAACAATGTTATTTCCCCGTTTATCCTGAGTTTGTCTTACAACTGGAGTGGTTGGGCTCAGATATAAAGGTCTATTTAGCGTGTCTCTAGTTTTTTCTTTTGGAGTCACGTGTTTACTCCCAGGGGTAACTAACTTTGGCGAGGTTGCTTTTTTCTGACTAACAGCTCCATCTTTCGTTTTGTTGAAGTTTCGATTGCGGAAAGGATACAAGGATTTGGGGATTTGAGGGGCAACTGGAAGTCTGTTCATGGACCTAAATCCAAAATGATTTTTAGTTACGCGTTGTCTTGATACTTCCCCTTCCAAGCTTGGCCTAGTAACCTTCGATTTATTTGATAAATCACTCACATTAGTACTCTTATTCATATTTTCTCTTCTTGATTGTTCAGGCTTTGTGGTTTCTTTGCTAGGTTTGAATTTCATAAACCTGTTAATCAAAGTAGGTTTAAGGGTAGTTTGCTCTCTAATTATGATTGATTGTTTTCTTTGGCGTGCTTCCTTAGATGGAATTCCATTACCGTCGTTGCAATAGTCGGTGGTGCATGACGTAAAACACGTAACATATTGGTTGTCATGGATACAGTTGTTGCCACGCCAATTGTTGTCACAGTTTCTAGAGAAAGACACTATTCGCCCTGTCGCTGAAAGAAATCAATACACCAAATTAATTATGCAACTATTTACGTTATCAGTATAAAAAATGTAAGAACCTTTCAACTAATCGCCTCGAATGATAATATGAAATAAAGCGTAACGGGCTTGAGGAAAGACCATCATCGTCCATTTTATGGCCAATAGCCATGACCCATTGCTATTCACGTTTTTAATTGCAAAGCAGTATCCTTGACGCAATTATTTTTTGACTTAATAACAAGCTGAACTTTACTAACTTCTTTATGACGTGGATCATACAGGTAATTGAGATAATTCGAAGCAAACTTTTTTATTTAGAGAATAGGTTGTACGGCTACTTGAAAGGCTAGAAGATCACGTTGCCCGAACTTAGCTGATTACTTTAACATGTTGTACTCGAGATCTAAAACTGTAGGGTGGTTGATAGGGAACAATATGGGCCTCCCTTTTAAAAGATAGAATACGTTTGAAATGTTCAATAGTGAAGTCGAACGAATGCATAGGGTAATTCAGCCCCAGGGTTTCAAAGAATTATCTTGAACGTGGTAAAAACTAATCCCAACAATGTATTATCTGATTAACTATTGTCTCCGTATTCATCTATAACTTAGAATGTCACAGTGATTTCACTCTAATTTACCATGAGAGCAATGTTCCTAAAAAGTAAGTAAGTAGTAAGTTTCTAAAAAACACACAATTGTGACATTTTTATATGCTGAGAACATTTTACTTTACAAAATACCCGGGGTAGCCATATTAACCATTATCATATAAAGGGGGATTGTTCCAGATACAACTTTGAAAATTAGAATTGAATTATCAAAGATATGAATTTTACAAAGGAAACTCGAGAGAATGATACTTGTTATTTAGTGTATAAAGTCATTAGTATGTCATCACCAAGCATCGGCTTACTTAGACTATAGCTTGAAGAATGTTTTTTTCAGATGAAGTAGATGATTGCATTATTCCATTTCAATTATTTAGGTGTTGTTCAAGTCTGTAACACGACGACAAAATAATAAATGATAGATTTCGACAAAATGATCGCACTCTCCTCGTTATTTATCTTAAAATATAATACCATTACTATGTCATCACCAAATATAATAGTAATGTATCACTTACTTAGACTATAGCCTGAGCATATGGAGTGGATAATTACATTATTCCATTATATTAGCATGTAAAAACAAGTCCGTAATATGATGAAGACTTAATAATTAATGATAGATTTTATTTTCTCTTAGAAACATAGTTATTTTTCTGATGGACGGATTAAGCTATTGCATTAGTAATTAGGACATGTAGTCCTCATAAGTGTGATTATGACCCGAATGTGTTGTCTTACATTTTTCCACTTGACGGAACGTAGAACAGTATTTGCTGAAGATACAGGGGATCTGGGACGACGCTTGACCCATTCTCCATGGAGATGTCACGCATGCGTAGTCTCGATCATTTGCCATAGTTTCCGTCGTATAGATGCAATGGTAACACCACTCCAAACCCATCGCTGTAAAGGACATATTAAATATTCAATTTCCAGAGTACTATCATATCGACATGGATTTAATCTTGAGGAAAGTTTCAAATTTACTTATTTTTAACTTTAAGAGATGCAGCGGCATTATCAATTCAATTTGCGGTGAAGTAAGGGGTCGTTAATCAATGTTAAATCTTCACATGGTTTTAGCCATCAGTTTTCAATTATTGACACTTTAACATTATAATCTCATTCATCTCCTTTTATTTGTGTTTGAATAGTTGTTCACAATCAAAGGGATCAGAGACATCCTGATTTTCTTTTATTTACAATGCCATACGCACTACATTGATCCAGTACTCCAATAAAGACCGCTGAACTTATTTTAATTTGTCGACGTGAGACAACTAAAACCATGGTTACAAATAAATATGTTTACCTTTGTATTCAGACGCCAATATCCAAATGACGAGGTACAACAAACGCATCATTGTTGATAATCTAATTAAATAATCCTTGCAAGGTGGTCCGCTTCATCATATTTTTTCTCTGCATAGACGCTTGTTCTCCAATGTTAAAACGTTGGAAAGGCGTAACTTTTCCCTGTCACACATATATGTCGTTTTTAATTCACATGGGTATCAACTGGTAGTTAATTCTAATTAATTCTTCATTTAATTGTCTTAAACTGCCAAGCTGTTGTTGACAGTGATGTATTTCTTTAATGTCTTTCAATGAACATAAGTTCAATTTAAGCGTTTTTCATTGATTATCTCGTTTATTGTGTCAATATCATAATAGTTATATACTAAGCTACTACAGTTGTCATAAACAGGTGCTTTCATTTTGTTGTTGACTGTTCTGTGAGTATAGCTGCGTCCCTGACGTGTTAATTAACACCATATCTAGGGTGGAACCTTGGATAAAAGAAAGTATTTCAATATATTGACTACCAAAGCCACCCAAATAATGAAATTCCATAATGTCGAAATGAAAAACGTAGCATGCAAGGTCATCTGATACGACAATTAAACAGTACATCACTGATCACAAAAATTCTAAATATCTCTCCATTTTTATATTCAGTGTTTTATAACATGTTTGGTTGAGGTTGACTGGAATATTGTACAGTTGTCATTGATGTGTTAGATTCGGTGTAAGATACACGACTTTTGACTGAACTACCATTGTGGTGTGCTCTGAAGTCACTGGTCGAGTGCCCTCCGTGTTTCGTTCGAGGGCGCTTCTTCACAAAGCAATAGAAACACTTCTTGAATCCTATGCGAAAGTGGCTGAAATTATACAATGCCCATTTGGGCGGTTATGCCGGAATTATGTATACAATTCTTGATATGAATAGTATTTATGAAAAATGCATAATGTGTTTTAAACGCCATGTACTCGCAAGTCTTGATTTCCATTTTGTGTTTCATTACCATTTCAAAATCATTGAACCAAATCATCCCTCGAATGAAGCTAAATAGAATCACGTTAATGCTTCGGGAACAAAACATAAATAGATCTGATATTTACTTGGACTGAACTGATTTTGCTATTAACGTACCTGGACATGAATGCGTAGACAACGGGATTTAAACAGCTGTTCATATATGCGAGCGTTGCCAGGTACAATCTGAGGCGTTGTTTTATATGGTAATATTTCAGCAAGCCCACTCCAAACTGGCTGATAACCGTATACAATGTGATCGGTCCCCAAGAGAAAAAGAAGATCAAGACGACAACTATAAGCATTTTGATGACCTACAAATAACAACAAATATCAAAAATACATTTTGTAATAAGTTTTGCAAGAAGTTTCTTCCCAGGGATTTCTACCTCGTGTCACGCTCCATTTCCCCAACCAATCAGAGGAGCAGAACTTGATCAACGCCCCTAACAGCTTAACCAAGTTAGGTCATAATGATCATAAGTGTCTACAAGTGTAGTTAACACCAATTTCTCATCATCCATCAGTTGCTACAATTGCGGTCAAATTAATAAGTCATTTGTTGAATAATCGGCATTTATAAAAAACGACTTTTCTTGTTATTTAGACGGGTGGATATCCTCGCGATGCTGTCGGAAATAACATGACTGATGTTATTGAACATCTTAAAAAGGACAAGATGACAAGAAAAGTTGATTACAATTAAGATTACCATACAAAAGAAAATTACTAGATAGTAATTGGAATTTTAATATATCTGACGAACCCTTTTTCTGTTTAACAGATCGTCTCCTTTTCTGACCACTGTCTTCACGGACCTTGTGTTCCACCTGCTATGGAGGTGACTCTCTACAGGATGTCTAAACAATAAAACATACGTATGTACAATTGCATTTCAAAAACACAATCGATGTACAGTATACAACTCATATGTAAGATTTCAAAATGATGAAACGTTATGCTAAGAAATTAATTGGAATTTGATATCAAAGTTGTAGGAGCTGTTTACAAGGTCAAGTCAAGGAATGTATCGTGCAAAAATAAATTCTTTCCTAAACGAGATAGTCTTGCTTCAAGACAGTGGACCCCCTATCAACTTCAAAACACAAAGTAGATAAGAGAGGGTCCAGGGTCTAGAAGCAAGACTAAAAAGTTTGGGATGTCTAAACACTTTTACCACGGGGAGTAAGTAACCTCCTCTCTATCATACTCTATATTATAGGGTAGTCTATAAAAGAGAGGGGGAGGGAGGGGGGGGAGGGTGACTTACTCCCCATGACGTCCACCCACCTGAGTCCGCTCATGCGTTGTGCATTCCTCGTGCTGACCCAAAGCTCATAACACGTGCGTCCATACGCATAGATCATAAACACAAATGGTGCAACCAGGAATATACCAAGAAGATAGTTGGCGTAAAGGTGCATATAAAGAATCTTAATGTCACTGGCCGTGCGACACACTTCTTCTCCTTCATATTCAGTTGGGGCTGTCTCCTTGAGAAGTAAAGTGTTTTGTAAATAGAATGCTATGTGTCACTATTTGAATACATTCAGGAGCCTTCATTAGACTAAAAAGACCCCAGACTAATTGTTTGAAAATTCTCTAAGTAAACAGAAATACATCATTGTTACTTCGACGAGTTGAGTCTATTAGAATATCTTACAGAACATCCGTGACCATGTTCATTATAGCAAAGCTAAAGTATTGTTTTTTCTAAAAGGTTAATGTACAATCTGTCTCAAACACTTGAAGAAGGTATTATCAGGAGCAAAGCTAACGACCACAAATCAACTGAACAAAACGATGAATTTATCTTACCATTATCAGTAGACTCGGAATAACACTGATAAATGACAAAAGCCAAACTACAATCACAGTTTTTCTTGCTCTGCCAGGTGTGCTGATGTAATGCGCTTTCATCGGGTCACATATGGCAAAATATCTGAATAGAATAATTGATAAAAATGTAGCAAACAAGAGATTTTTACCAGGAGGGATTTGATATGGGGAGTATCACAAGGATGATATCAATATTTTCTGAGAGAACCTGGTGGCCGAGGGAAATATCGATATAATCCAAGGAATATTTACCATATCATCCCTACAGGTGAACAACTACCTTATCCCTAATGTGTACAACGTATTTTTCATAACATTAATGTACAGGGGGGGGGGGGTTCGGATGACAAAAGTTGAAGAGGTACAGTAAGAGGTACGGTACCACATTGTAGGTTATTCAAAACTCTCGAGGGGATCTATTAAAATCTCAAAAATGTAAGTCAAATGGGGTCAAAAGTAGGTCAGAGGAACATATGGGTGAGCTTTACTTTTTTCATTAAAAAACATCATATAATGTATTTTAGCCAGAAATGGGTACTAAATGTAATAGGTGTATATAGTATCTACCTTTTTAGGACAAAAAACCGTGGGTAAATATACTACCTATCCTAGATCCAATTCGAAAGTCTGACGAAATGAAATATCTAAAAATGGGGGAATTGGAGACAAATCACAGTCCAGGACCTAAGATACTGAATAAATAATATTATTTTAAAAATCACCTCATAGGACATACCTCTTTCTATAATATAGCGCAATAATTTTGGATATTGGTTGCGTATTAGATGAAAAAATTGTTTTTAGTGCATCTCGGCCAGCGAAAACGCAATCTCGCGTGTTGAAAATAAGTGTATTTGAGCCAAAATTTGCAGCATTGACATATTTTCATGGTTTATTTTGCTTGTAATTATAGACGCCATATGTTTCTACTGGTACATAATCAAAATATCTCATAGAATCTCATGTTTGGCTCTATATTTACTGATTTAAGAAAAAAAGTTAATAAATAAAGCCACCCGAGATGACAGAACTTTTTTCTCAAAGACTAGAACTTCAAATACAATTTACTCTTTCCTACTTGTTTTTTACATACTTCAAATGATTGTGTAATATTTCGATGCATACATATTCTCAAGTTTGTAAATTATATGCATATTAAGATGGAAAAATGACTAATACCAGCGAAACGGAAAAATCTTGGGGTAGGGGAGACAAAAGATTATTTCTTCAAAAAGAAATATTATAAAATATTGGTTAAGATATGGTTATATTGTTTTGCAGGCATCTGACAATCATCTTCAGGACCATCCAGAAAAAAATTCATGGATATGTGATCACTAGTTATCAATTTTTACTCAATTTTTTTGATCGAAACGCGAGTAGCGGACCACAATATAATATTGAAAACTTCGTATCTCAGTCAATAAAAGTCAGATTACCTTGTAATATGGCCTGGATGAAAGGGTATTTACCATTCTATGGTCTTTATCCAAAAGAAAGTAAAAAGAACCAGCTTGTATTTTTATTCTTTGATTTTCAAGCAATTTCTGAAAAAATTCCCAAGTTCCCACCATCCTAACTCAGCCAAATTACCACCGATCACCTCGACTTTTGCACCAAAAATGATCTTTAATTTGTAGGTATAGGTACTACGGTTATAAAAATAGTTTTTCTTGGCAGAGAAGTACCGGGGGAAAATCCGGATGGGGGGTCCCCCTGTACACATTAGGGTTATACCAGGTATGAGGCGACTGACAACTTCACGTGTCTATCTACATATACGTACCACCAGTCTAAGGTTAACCTGGAGTATAACGCAGGGCTTTTTAACTGTGTGTTTCCTTGTGCTTTTTATCATGTTGATAAAGCTAAAGTGAATAGCCGATTTACAAATAGTGTTTTACAGGAAGATAATTACATTTATCAATTTACTTTCGGATCAAAGTGAAATTATTTAAATAAATCAGTGCTGGCCAAATTGATCGGTTCTAGCGACTTTTGTTTCAGCTATCAGAATCTGAAAAGATGCAGTTGATGTAGTGAAGGTTAATGTGTCTTTTACAATTGATCAGTAACTTCATTGTTATCTCTAATATAAGGTAGCGTGGGTAGTATTGTTCCGAATTCAAACGATCAAATAAGTTACATGTATTTCATAATAAAAAATTTAAGATTACATTTGACTCAAAATGGCTCATTTGTGAAGTCAATTAGTTTACAATTTTCATCTCTGTTTTTGTAAATACCACACGTTTGGTGTCCATCAAGACCATGAAACTATGTCAAAACAACCCAACAATACCATGAATATGGGTGTCAAAAATCAAAAAAATCAATAAAATGAATTCCATAAATACCATAAACTTGTGTGTCAAAAATATCAAAAAGTCAAAAAATTAATTCCATCGAAACATCCCAACAAGACAATGAATATGGGAGTAAAAACAAAACAAAAATGAACTCAATAAATACCATAAACTTGTGTATCAAAATGATGAAAATAAATAAAAAAGGAATTCCATAGATTCCATAAACTCATGATATGTCAAAAAAAAGAAAATCAAAAAAGGATTTTTTTGATATTTTTGATATTTTTTATATATTTTTTCTGGATATACATATAATGACAAAGGACTGTGCTTTCGACGTCTGTCCTTCATTGTCACACTCATCTTTTTAACAAGTATCTTTATATTGCTCTTGACTAATCTTAGGAATGACGCATGTAATATGAAACAGTGAGATGCCCTTTTATATATAATGTAAGATAAACACAGAAAGCCAGAAAATATTACCCCGAGCGCCATTTTCTACTCAGCATCCTTGTTATATCCAGTAATGATTTTTATCCCATTTTGGACGTGTGTGATGTTTCTGAAGCAGGTTTGTACTACTACATTCATAGAATTAAAGAATTTCGACAAAGTAAAACGTAAGCTTGTGCGCAAATTGGCCTTTGCAAACAATGTATGAAGAAACATCATCCAAACATTTTCAGACACCCCCAGAAAATGTTCGACCAAGCTTCGATACTCGTTCTCTCATTGGTCAATCAGATATCATGTGACTAAAAATATATAATATTGGTACCCCAAAAATATATTTTACTTAACACATGCATGAATTACCCAAATGCGAGTAGGTACCAGTTTCACCACCAGGTGGCTGATTCGGGTCAATTAACATGGCAGGTATATAAGAAAGTTCCCTTAAACTTGAATATTATCAATTTAAGTGGCTCAATTTTCATAGAACCCTTATGTGCCTGATACTTATACTAATGAAAATATGTCCAGTAAAGCAAAATATTATCTGTCCACTAAAAGAAAAGATATTTCATTTTTTGTGATTTTACAGCATGGGGTCTATGGGGAATCTCCCCAAGCTAGAAGTCACATTTTCAAAGAAAATTAATTTTTCAAAGTTGATAAACACTTTTTAAAACCACATTTCTAGATGTAATTTTACATGTAGATTTCAAATATGATATTACTTTTTAATGAAGTAAATCAAGATTATTTCTACTCGCATCAGGGTTATTAGCTCATATTATCACATCTTGTAGAGAAAGGTCTAAAATTTTTGAACTGAACTGAACAGAACATGTTACCTACACAAACGGTTAGAGGAGGGGGGGAAAGTTACCCCATGTGACCCAAAATATGAGAAGGCTATTTTTACACCATCATGTGTGGGATTCAAAACCAAACAAAGTCAGAAAACATTAGGTTTTTCAGACTGCAGCTAAAAAGATTTTCCCAGGAAGATTATTGAAGGGTTGAAGAATTGCAAACGTTGAAGTTCACATTTTATCGATTTTCAGTGATGTTTGGTTAGGGCTTATAGTTTCAAATTTCAAGACTTCGTAAAAGGATAGTACCAACAAAAAGTTTAGACCTTAATCTACAATATGTGAAAATATGAATGGATTCCAGCTGGTAATAAGGGAAATATAGCCTGTTGCAACAGTTCACTTTTTTGGACCACCCTGTATGTCTAGGTCTTCCACAGATGTGTTCCACATTGATTGCCCAAAAAGAGGCGTACATACTCATGGGTTACATGATTGAGTATATCCCATTTTAATCAGTCAGAATAAAGAAAACAGATACACAATCAAAATGTTTAGATTCATAAGATTGACACTCCTAGCGTTATAATGATCACGATGTATTTGAACCTCGGGATTAATAACTGCCTTTGGGGTAAATTGTGTCTTACTTGACCCAAAAGGAGCATCTTTGTAACTCTAGGTTGCTCAACTAATACTATCATGGTCCTTGGGAAACCATTTACCTTGAGGAGACACAAACGGAGCTGATCAATAAAATAAGAAATAAAGTACCCACCTTTCAAAGCACATTGCAGTTAGTGTCATTATGGAACATGCGAACGAGACATCTCGCACATAGTACACGATTTTACAGGCCACGTCCCCCAACAGCCACGCCTCATAAATAAACTCCGATGCCTGGTTAAATCAGAAGATAATTCATATAGCATTATGAACAAAAATCGTTACATTCAAAGGGAATATACATTCTTAAAATGTCATTATGAAATATGCTAATAGTTTCCAAGCATATTATATATCAAAGGATGGGTATCGATATGGCGAACTTTTTGAACACACGTTTCTCTTAAACCAGTCATCAAAAAATATTGAGAGGTCTAAAAACATGTTGTATATGCTATTTTGTTCCAACAAGGTTCGGAAAGACATTTTATTTCATTCTCAAGAATTGGTAGAAAGGAGCAAAAACAATTGCACTAAAAACCAAAAAATGTTAACAAAAACAGTTTTAGAAAATATTTCTAAATAATTTTCGCATTAAATTGTTGTCAATCAGTCGTCAACATTACACATAAAATACCGTGTTTTTTACAGAATGTTTTCAATGATTGGTTTAAGAGAAAAACATTGGTGAATTCAGTTCTCCATATCGATACCACTCCTTTAGCTACATAATATCTATTTACAGAAGGTCGAATATTTTTCAAGTGTTTCTAAAGATTGATATTTCATGTAGCGATAGAGCTTATTTTTAATTTTGCAGGATGTAATCAGACCAGTGGTTAACCATGGTTTACTTGAATTACATGTACTTAGTAGTGTACACCTTTATAGTTTTAATTTGCAAAGGCAAGCATTTATTATATAAGTCAGAAATCATATTTTCAAATAATTGGTATGCATTATTTACATAACATTCATATGCTTAGTAAATTAACCAATATGCTAACCAAATCTGTCAACCGGTATTTGAGTTATCGCCATGACACACGAACGAAGGAACGAATGGACGACTTCTCTATACTCGCATCCGTGCGAGCCTCGTTCGGTGGGATAATAAGGACGACATTAAATTATCTTTTGTGAAAATTAGACCCATCGGCTGTAGAAATTAATCCATTAACTGTAACAAACGGATTAATTATTGATGTAAACGAAACTCATTTCATAGAAATTGAATAATTAGGGATAAAAGGTTCATGTACATGTAAGCAAACCGTAATGCTCTGATATGTCAAAATGTTATTTTCATCAGTTTGCTCTTGCCACCAATTTGCTCAAAGCGAATCATCGATTTGTCAGATGAAGCAGTGGCAATAAGTGTAAAATATACCTGTTTTTTATTTCTTTATTATTTAATTTAATAATTATCAAATTATACCGAATCAAGCGCCTTTGTGAATATGTTTGTGAAATGAAAAGCAAACCTATGTCAAATAGCACCGGCTTAAAAAGCAACAATATGGTCCAATTCTAAACAAAAGTGTGTAAAATTAAGCTCAAAATCTCAGGCACATTTGATCTACGGCGGACGCATGGCGACCATAGCTCTACAAAATCAACATGGAAAATTGCATCGTACGGTTTACCGTATCCCTTTATTTTGTTGCATTATATTTATCTTGATTTTGGAAGCTACAGACCTCATATGGTCTCCATACAGTACACGTATATCAAATGTAAATTTGGTATTACATAAATTTATGACGCATGTTTTCACATGCTAGAATATATATATTCTAGCATGTGAAATATTCTAGCATGTGCGTCATAAATTTATGTAATACCAAATTTACATTTATGCGTTTTGTCTGGTGGAATGACCAGAAAAATAATTTAACTTAAATCGGGAAGGTTGGAACGTGCTGATGATTATTGAAATGTCGTCTGACTCGTCTAATATATCATTCAATGTGACAGGAAACCATGGAGTAAACCCGGTGTGAAAGAAATTATGGTCCCCCAGGGATTATAGTCCCCCTTTTTAAGGTAGCGCTAAAGTTAATCAAAAGTACAAAAAACTGGCAGCCATATTTTTTTGATGAAGTCACAAGATTTTGTGTATCTGTTATCTTTATATGTGAATGCATTTTCTGACTAAAGAGACATGTCCAAGAAAACTTCAGATTTAAACGCATTTTTCATAACTATGAATTGGAGGTGCATGGGTCCACTAAGCTAGCATGAAGACCATGAAATGAGGCTAATTTTTGAAAGTTTCAAGGAGTAGGATTGCAACAGTGACACATTTGCAAGAATCCAAAATTTCCACAAATCATCTTACCTTACCAAGGAACATCGAAGGAGCATGAAAATGTGCACTTCTTGCTTTGTTAGAGTATGATAAAGCTCAAACCATAGTTTCTTATAAATATTTTATGTCCACCATTTTGTTTGCTGGAACTACTTCTAGACTTCCTGATTAATCCTCATACAAGTTTTGTGACTTCACCATGTGGCATGGATTATCACTAGTATATTTTATGTATAACAGTATAATTATCATGATAGATAACTGAAGTTATTACGTAATACTGCATATAAGAGACGGTATAGTTTATTTTGGGGGGGGGGGGCAAGAAAAGAATAAGTCAAGAATAGTTTAAAATAGTCTGTCTTTGTTTAATATAAGTTGACTATCACCGCATATAGTAGGTTTGATCCATACGTACAGTATAAGTGGAATATAGTTCAGTAAAGATATATACTCTGCAACTTATTTCAGTTTATATGGGGGTACCGAAGAGTACTATACCTCTAGTATATCACGACTTATATGAAAGTGTTCCGTTTAGGAATATGGGAGAGCCTATTCTCGCCAATATTTTAGGTGAAACGCAAACTATACGTTTTTTAAAGAAATAGTTTGATACTACAAACTAGACCATTTTTCACGGTGATTGTCAAGCAATCTATCAAACTATTTTGGACGGACAGATAAACGCAAATAGTCTGACAATATGCCTGCCACCATGAGAGACGGGGACATAGCACAACCAGGAATATTGTAAGCATACGTATTAGTGGGGCCAGTTAGCTGTTCAATTGCACTTGCTATATATAAAGCACCATTTTTTGACCAAAGTATCCTTAATACATATAAATTTGATATCTAACGAAGTGGTAATGAAAAGTGTCCCCATTTAATAATAGCAGCCCTTGAAAATTTTGCATTTTTACATTGAGCCCCGTGTTAATTTATCAATCTTCTAAAGACCCCCTGCAGAACAGTTCTAGAGTAATAAAGCCCATATTCCCAGTATGTTACAATTATATAATTAAATTTTTTCTTTTCCCTAGTTCCAAAGATATCGACGTTTGAATTTTGGAAAATCTCCATTGGCTGCCATTATAAACCACAATCAACATGGCTTTACTAAAGTGTCCTTTTCTCAAAAAGTCCACAATGGAATTTTCTAATATTGCAGACTTCTATTGTTAATATATTGCATTTAAACAAATCAAACAGACACATTTCTAAAAATTTCCTATTTTTGAAATATTTAGCCATTAGGTTGCACACGAAACTATAGAAATCCTATATTGAGCCCCATGTTAATTTATCAATCTTCAAAAGACCGACGCCAGAGCAGTTCTAGAGTAATAAAGCACATATTGCTGGTTTATTCCAATAACATGATTATTTCTAAAATAAGAAGGGTTAAATTTTTATTTTTTCCTAGTTTCCAAAGATATTGGCTTTTGAATTTTGGAAAATTCCTATTGACTCCCATTATAAACCGTTATCAATATGGCTTTACTAAAGTGTCGATTTCTCAAAAAGATTACTATGAAATTTTCTAATATTGCAGATTTCTATTGTTAATACATTGAATTTAAAAAAACAGACACAATTCTAAAAAATTCTTACTTTTGAAATATTTAGCCGTTAAGTTGCACACAAAACCATAGAAAACCTATGCCCCATGTTAATTTTAATTAATCTTCAAAAGACCACCCTCAGAACAGTTCTAGAGTAATAAAGCCATATTGCTATTGTGTTACAATAGCATGATTATCTTCAAAATATAAGAAGGGTCAAAACATTTATCATCACATCTTAAATGCTCTGAAAATGATTTAAATCACATATTTTGAAAATAAATATACGGTACAATGTTTGACCCAATGTTTAGGACTTAATATCAGAAACTTACGCCAACAGCATCGCCTTTCAAGTAAAATAGATATATTGATGTCTTTCAAGTTTGTAAACTAAATGTTGTTTTATTCATACTTAATTGTTTCAAAAGATAAAATGAATCCCTGTCAACATGTACAATGATTATTTCATTACAAAATAGCAAAAATCGTGCATCTTATAATTTTATTTATTTATGGAATGAACTCCTTCAAAGAAATCAATAGGCGAAATAAATTGAAGTCGGATTATAAAAAAAATAATCCAAAATAGCAGAAAATAGCAGACATTTTCAATTGAACAGCCATATTGGAAATTCCCTCTCTAGCAGAGGTCTTACGGCTATTAGTGCTATAATGGCATAACGGTCAAGACAAGTTACTTAGTCAACATTCGATATTCGTATGTTCATCAATATTTACTAAGAATGGTGCCACAATTGAAGTAAACCTCTGGTTAATCATTTTCAATAAACCTATCAGCAAACGTGTAAATGATAATTTTGATGTTCTGTTACATATTGGTGAAGCAATCTTTGGGATATGACCTAAATTTCTGATTTTCCACTGTGTCCCTGTATACCCCTACTTCAAAAGATATATGTTATTCGTCATTTTTCTTTATGAACCAACCATAAATGTATTTTTTCTTGTTTACATACAGAATGAACTTTCGGTTTTCAAATATTGCAAGACGGTACTGCATTCATTTGTTCAGGATATCGAGCAAACAAATGCGTGTCAATTTACACTGTAATATCCTACATACTTATATTTCAAGGGTAGTTTTGAAGAATAATCAAGAAAATCCATGTTTTCAAATGGATTCATCCTTGTCAAAGAACGTGAATGAGGATATGTCGTTTGAAAAACTCACAACATGTTTCAAGTTCTTACAATTCTCGGTTATAAAAAATAATTTGAAAGTTGTGATTTCGAATGTGATATCCTACTCAATGAAATTTGTTGATATTTGTGAATTTTTTTCTTTCGAAATGCACATTGCTGGATAACAGAACCTTGCCATGTTCGAGATGCACGAAAAGTGTTTTGTTAATACTTGACGTCGTACGGATATTTGGATGTGATTGACGTTTTCGTTAATCTCCTACCACTGTAATTTCCAACTTAATTTTTGGAAGCCAAATGTGATAGTCACGAATTGATATTTAAGTCACACGTTGATGCATACATCATGTGTGTACATTAACTGTCGAATACATGCCAACTTACATTTATATAAATATCCACAATTAACTCAAATCATCAATTCTCGAAACGGTTTATTATTTAACCTGGTGAATTTAATGTTTCATTTTGATTCATAATTATGGTATCGGATTTGAGTATGCTATAATTCGATGCTTAAACAAAGCAATAAAATTACATGAAACCTTTTGTGAAAATTCGAACGATTTTTCAAGAATCCTCCTTCAAAGTGATCCCAAAGTGCTCCCCGGGAGTGGAAATTTCGTCTTGTGTAATCAAAATAATAGAGCGGGTGGTTTGAATTTTTGTTTGAGTTTATAGTTTACATCTATTAATTGAAAAACATATCGCCTAATTGAGAGGTACATGCATATTTTGGCGATCTATCATTATAAAGGGCAAAATATTGTGCAAAAACAGGAGTTGACACGCTTACATTTGAAAATGAAATTTCCTACATAATCGTCGACTCATGTTTAAAAGTCATGAAAACATGGTTGAACACAAAACATTGACCCAGTTACTGTCTATTCAGCATGGGTTCACTAAGGGAAATATTATTAATGACTTAAATTGTTTACAGTTAAGTTGTATTCCAAGAAACTTATCAATTTAGAAATGCAAATTGTTCAATTTTGTTTTTCAATTATAAAAAATGGCACCTGTAGAGAACAACGTTTTCAATAAATTTTAAAACGGAGATATTTACTTATGCAACATTTATTGGCATGTGTCAGGGAATAAATAGGAAGAATATGCATTTGATTCTATATCTTGTTCCTGAAGGAGTTTGTTAAGGAGCGGTATATCTTAACGTATTTTTATCATCCCGAACTCAAACATTTCGAACACTTATTTCGAGAACGCTTTGTTGAGAATTGATTCGAGATGTACTCAAAATTAATGCGTTAAAATGTGTATTATCATCTAAATAACCACCTCACAAATTATTTTGGAAATCAAAGATGTACGATTTTTGAGATTTTTATTTTCGAACGTTGACTTACTTACTTGGCTTGACTGATAAGCCTAAAACATTTTGCCAGTATTTCAGTAAGTTATCACTTAATTCAATATATTTACTATAGAAATCTGCAATATTAGAAAATTCCTTAGTTGACTTTTTGAGAAAAGGACACTTTAGTAAAGCCATATTGATAGCGGTTTATAATGGCAGCCAATGGGGATTTTCCAAAATTCAAACGGCAATATCTTTTGAACTAGGCGAAAGAAAACACTTTACATTCTGTATTTAAAAGATAATCGTAAAATTGTAACATACTAGGAATATTGGCTTTTTTACTCTAGAGAACTGTTCTGCAGGAGGTCTTTTGAAGATTGATAAATTAACATGGGGCTCAATATAGGTTTTTTATAGTTTCCTGCGCAACTTAACGGTTAAGTATTTCAAAAATAAGAAATTTTTAGAAATGTGTCTGTTTGATTTTTTTAAATTCAATGTATTAACTATAGAAATCTGCAATATTAGAAAATTCCATTGTAAACTTTTTGAGAAATTAACACTTTAGTAAAGCCATATTTATAGTGGTTTATAATGGCAGCCAATGGAGATTTTCCAAAATTCAAACGTCAATATCTTTGGAACTAGGCTAAAGAAAAAATTTAACCCTTCTTATTTTGAAGATAATCATATAATTGTAACATACTGGGAATATGGGCTTTATTACTCTAGAACTGTTCTGCAGGGGGTCTTGAGAAGATTGATAAATTAACATGGGGCTCAATGTAAATGTGCAAAATCTTCGAGGGCTGCTATTATCAACTGGGGCCACTTTCCAATACCACTTCGTTAGATATCGAATATATATGTATCAATGATACTTCTGTCAAAAAATTGTGCTTTATATATAGCAAGTGCAATTCTAGGGTTTTATTGTCCTAACTGATTCCACTATATGCAAACTGTCATAAACCAGCACCGATTGATTGTGATTATATATCAAATAAAGACAGGACGGAAGGAAAGGAGGATTCTTTAGTTGATATATTACATTAGTTCAAAGCGGATGACTAACATGTTATGTAGGTTAAAAGGATTACATTAGCATCAGTACCGACCTACTTTGGGCTCCCAGGGAGCATTCTATTGACCTATTTGAGGCTCCATATATATAAAGAGGCATTTATAGTAATTTCATTTTGTTCTTTCAAATCAGACAGTAATGAACAATAAGCCGTACAAGCTCATTATTGCTCTCCTTGTGTTTATTATCCTCAACTAGATGAATTGAATAACATTTAATAGATTCCAGGGTACAAGTGTTTCATCGTTGTGACAGACAAGTTGTGTTGTTGGGTATTTGTCATATCTGCCCTGTTTATAGCCCCACTGCTCAAATAATTGTCACTATGAAAATTAAGTACTCACCTTGACAGGTAAACACAGCAACAACAGCATCAGATCCGCTGATGCCAAACTAGCCAGGAATATATTTGTGACACTTTTCTTGTTCAGAAATCTCACGATCGTAATGATTACAAGTATGTTACCTGAAAAAAGCATGTTACATTCAGGCATCCAGGAGATACATGAGAGCGTAGCCAGGCATAATACAGGCGGGGCATTTCTACAGAAATTATATTCAGGCGTTGTTTCAACTAAAAGTGTAGAAAGAAAGTCAAAAGGTAGTAATACATCTCCTTTAGCCTCAATTTGCCTCGCCTATTTACATTTGCCTCACCAGTTTTTGATCCTAGCTACGCCATTGATGTTACATCGGTCAGAAGCAGTCATTCTGAGTTAACAACTAACAACACGAGCTCGATTTGCGCCCTTGATTTAATATTAGAAATAAAATATGAACCTGCATTCTGCAAGCGAGATGATAAATTGAATGGGGCTCGAGATACAAACACTAATCTTGCTCCAAGGTCCCTCTACACACCTCAACACTACATTGAAATGAAGAAGATGAGGGGGAGAGGGGACGTGATACAAGACTTCAAACACTAGTTACATGATGACAAGGGAAACTAGCGCAATCCAATGTAAAATTAAAACTATAAAATCCACGCGCCGCAAATGTATGACATTTATATCCCAATCTATAGTGATTGCAACTTGATTTATTTTAAAAGCCTTCTCAACACAGGTAAAGATTATTGTATTTTTGTGATAATGATTGGTATTACAAAAGCGATATGAAATGCAGTCTCGATGTACTTTAGTCCAATAACTCATGAACGACTCAGTATGTAGTTGATTTGTAGCTCAATTTGTATTCTTTTTAAGAACAGGATGACATTCCGCGATAAGATAAGGGGCGAAAAGTGTTAATAAAAAAAGAGACCAGTGACGCGCATCTCTGAATAATCTGAAAGGTAATTCGCGTGCATACTTTTATTAGCAATGTGGTTGAATCTGTCAGTTAAATTGCATACTGAAGTACACTATTTTACTGCTTTGATATCAGCAAAAGAATTGAGAGATAAGTAAATACGTCACTTACCCCCAACCCCCAAGATCCACATGGCGCTATACAGGACTAAGGTTATAATGGCGGTCGGCATGTCTACCCGAATCCATGTATTCTTCCTTTGCTGATGTCGAAGGAGTTTATCTTTGTTTGTTTCATTCATTATATCTTCGGCTGGACAGAGCCTGCTTGGTAAGCAGTTGCAGATATACCAGTGGAGTCTTGCGCGGCTTTCAGGGTCAGGTGCAGGAGGATACTTACACATCGGATCCTTGGTTGTTGTCTTTGCGGTGACGTTACTGGTGGACAATGTTGTGACTTTGGGGAATGGGGATGAGTTTGAGGTGGTAATGTTTGGAATGTCGGTCGTTGCACTGAGATTTGTAGAAACACCAATGCTGGTAGTAGCATCATTTTCGGGAGTTGGTAGTATCTCTGTACGTAAAGTAACTCTAACATCACACGCAACTGAAAGGGAAAATCATGGGCTTTAACGATTTTTACAATTATGACATTCAATTTAAATTAAAGCAACGCATTATCATGCAAAATATCACCACCTGCCATTTGTTACAGACGCCGAACGCCAGACACCGTCACAAAAATGGAGACCATAACAATATGTCATCACTTTTGGCGGTGGCATAATATCAGTGAATAATGTCGTATTTACCTGTTTTAAACTTAATTGAAAAAGCCATATCAAAAATGTAAGCAATACTAAGAAGATCAGGAGCACTATTCATGAAGTAGGTTTTGCTGACTTCGCTGAGCAAATGCTTCCTGAAACCTGCTAGTAGATTCATAAAGTACCAAGATAAAACACTTTGCGCGGAAACAAGTACTTCGGTCAAAGTCACTCCGACGAGAAACTCAATGTCGATAAAAGATTGAATAGATTTGCTTGAATAATACTGGTAAAAAATGGTATACGGATATTCGTCTCAACAAATTTTGACATTTTTATACCACTCCAGTCTCCATAAAACATCCAGGAAGAAATCGGCGAGTCTGACTACGTGAAGATGGCCCATGGTGGAAATGACGAAGGGACCCCGGGTTTAGTTGTGTTTCTTTATTTAACCATAAAATTGCATGATGCATGTCCTAAAAGGCACTCGACGACAATCTCTGCATCGCTAAACATATTTTTCCATTGTTCATTCTCGGCCAGACTCTATGAAAAATATATACATTGCATGGATACGGAAAAGTAAATGAGGAACAACATTTTAATTGCTACATCTATTTCCTCACCTAATACGATAACTTGTGTGAAAATCGCTATGTGGTACGAGAATCCGTCCATCTCAGTTCTTAGTAAAGTGCACTCGTCTGAACGGAAAACTTGCCTAAGGATATCAACCTATAAAAATAGAAAATCCAACATTAGATATGAACGATGGGAACCACTCAATATAAGTCTTTTATAAACGCCTTTCCCCCTAGTCTAAAACGCATAAACAAGCTCTGTGAACTTCATATTGAGATATTCCAGAAATATCAAAGTACAATATTATCTCAATATTCATGATCATGTACCCCGTGCAAACTATAAAAATCTACCTCATTCACCTGGATTCAAAGAAAGGAAATCCGGTTTATTCTGAGAGGAATATCTGTTCTATTTACATTAGATAATAGATACTCATCAAGGTATCACATAATATGTAATGATGATTTAAATATCGAGCGGGATTGCATTTGTTCATTAAAGAAGTGAACTGATCATTTCTGATTTTAAATTGTCATATGCATTATATTTGAAGGTAGATCAGGAAATGCAGCAATAAAATATTTGAAGATCACGTTTTTTTGTTTAGTTATGCAACTGAATCATTTTTTGTATTCAATACATAACGAAACACATAAATAAGGGTTATGTGCTGGGAGGTTTTGGATATGGGGTTTATCCAGAGGGTGGATATACCCCATATCCAAACCGACCGTACATAACTGCTTTATCCTAAACCAAGTGGAGTTTTCTAAGAAAATCTGATTTTTTCAACATTTTTTTAAACAATTTTTTCATTTTTTTTTCAATTTTTTTTCAAAGCGGGAAGATATTTCCTGGAGCAGGAGATATGACGGGGGATATGGAGGTTCTAAATATGGAAACCTATCAAAATCAGGATACGGGATATATCTTACCAACTTATCTCCCTAAAACTCTACTTGGCATAAGGTAAACAACTATAGTGTTTTTAATTGATGAATTCCATAAAAATAGTACCATAGGTACTGGGCACACATGGTGCTGCTTAAACGTGAATGATGGGTAAAATGGGAGAAAATAAAAAACGGATATAGTATGGAAGTATACCATTATCTTAAAGCAATAGAGCAACTACAGTACTCCAATTTCTACTCGGGTGAATTTTTGTATATGCAGAGCATGGTTATTGAGTGAAATATTTACGATTTCGATAAGAGTTGATGTGAAGTAGTAATTCATCTGGGTATTTTTCATTGTAGAATAAGTATGATGAAATGGAACTTTGTATAGGCTATAACTAAAGCCACAGTCACATTTCAAATCAGTACTGCGGCAACATACACTCCCCTCCATAGGTTTGGCAACTTTAGCTCCCCATTGAACTACGTGTTAAAGCCTCTTTACGTTTGACTTTTTATTCACTTAACCTGAACCTGCGATGAAATAACTTATGATATTGATGGAAACGTAACTTGACCTTATTTCAAATATCTCCTTTATCAATTTTTTCCTCAATTACAAAAGGTCGAAGATTGATGATAAATTTGATGAATATTTGAAAATCGTCATTCCCATGTAAACTAATGGGAAATGGTGGGTTCGGGGTAAATCAGAAATCAGGATATCTATTCAGTAAAAGATTCAGCAAAAATATTTTTATATCGAAAATTGAATTTTCTAACTTTTTGTGCACTTTTTTTGTGTTTAGTTTGCTTGATGAATACTAAAGTTACAGAGCTTCAAAGTCATTTTTGAAAATCATTTTTCGCCTCCTTTGTTATTTCAATGGGAGAGTTTTTTTTGAAAAACACTTTTGACTTTAAAGACTTATAATTTTGTTGAACCTGAAGAAACGTATTAAATTTTTGTTAAATAAAGTTAGCAAATTCAATTGCCTACCTAACTTGTATTTTTTGCAAGGACTCGGATGAATATTCTGTCATATGACTTGCGGCAAGCCTACCATTTCCCTTTGGTTAACATGGGAATGTCGATTTTCAAAAATTTATCATCAATTTTCAACCTATTGTAATTGAGGAAAAAATGATAAATTTGGAGGCATTGGTAATGAAGTCAAATTACGTTTCCATCAACAGTATATAGTATTTTCATCGCATGTTAAGTAAATAAAAATCCAAAGTAAAGATGCTCTAGTAACACGTAGTTCAATGGTGGAGCTAAGGTTGCCAAACTTATGGAGGGGAGTGTAAGAACCCATTTTAGAAAAGAATCATAAACAGGGTTAGAGCTGACTTGCTTTTTAGGGCCCTATTATGAATATGCCCATGTCTATCATGTTAACTTTATTTATGAACCGAACTTCATATTATATGCAGATTTTAGTACGCCTAAGCTATTTTTCTTAAATGCTCCCCCGGGATGCTCCCAAAGTGTGTCACCCTTCAAATTTTGAAAGAAAGATCTTGAACGAGTTGCACCAAGTGTCTCAGAGAAACACCAAAAAGTGTTATGGGGATATTAACCTCTCCTCAATAGAAAGTTATTCATAACTCATGTCTCAGATGGTTAATTTTTTTTATTTCTGCTAATATGTGAACTTGTCCCTCCTCAAGTTAGATTTTGTTTAAAGACCCCGGGCGATTGGAAACATGTTTTGATATTAGAATTTGAAATAAATCATACCGGGGAAATCTTATTATGTAAAAATTATATTGACTAGTCACGTTTGATTTATAACCAAGAAGGTCATGAGGAATATAATAATTTACGTGAAGTTATTTAATTTCTATTCTCGAATACTCTTTTGATTTTTCGATAACTGAATTTATTGTTTCCAACCATAAGTTCAGCGACATTTGGTTTATTGGCTGAGAAAAATATGTTTGGAATCAAGACCAAGTATGGCTGAGATAAAGCAATCGAAGCACTTTTGAATGATAACACAGTGTCTAGAATCAACTAAGCAATTAACTTCTACATCAATTGCACATGGTGTTAAATAGAATTTTTATTCAATTTTTCATCTTAAAAATTAAATAAAAATTATTAATGAAAACGTCGTCTTCAGACATATTCATGCAATCCGTATTCGAAATTTACGGAAATGTTTTTAAAGGAATAATACTCGAACTATAAACAAAAGACAATCTTTGATATCGTTCAGCCGACCGAGGTTAAGTTCACCCTAAATACAAAATATCTCGGAACGTCATACCACGACCAAAACCCGAAAATGAAAGATGATCGTTAATCGCTGTAAATTAATAGATGATAGAATTCATTTGATGATTTATTTACTCGATCGATGCATTAAAAGACAGCAACATGCTATTTGAGAACATCACCAATAAGGTCAATATAATGACAAATATTTATCTTCAAGGCTTTCAAAAACATCGATTCTTTAATAAAGTAGTCTAAAATGGTAAATCTAATATTTATCAAATTCCGCTTGCAATTTCCATTTTCCTGCACACCATGTTGCATTGTATAGGTTAATTTGATTTATGTATGTACATACCAATGTCACTGGATTGTCATGACATTTTAAGTCATGTTTTTTATTTTCTTACCTTGTTAACATTCGCTTTGATTGAAGACGCAAGAAAATTGCACTGGGAAATACGTAACAGGTTATAGTTTGACCATGTCTCTTCAATGCCCATGGTATGACATAAAACAACAACTTATAGACGCTTTGGTGCAAAAAAGATATTTGACGTCTACAGTCCTGTTAGATCAGGCGTGTTAAGATCTATTCTTTTCTGCATCCTAACCATACCCTTATCAATCTTGAGTGATGGTTATTGCTTTGCTGCACCGCTTGGGTTTCCGGGAACGGAGTGCTAGAGCTCATATATTTTTCATTAGGTTAAGATTTCATTCCAATCAACCTTACGGCAAAATAAATTAGGTCAACTTTGTGATAAATAAATGGCAATAAAATGCACTCTCAGTGATGGTCTATGACCAAAGCTTGATGTCTGCATTACTTTTATATGTCATGCAGAAAGTTAGACAGAATGGAAAGTTAGAAAGGGAACCGTTCACATAGTTTTTCTTGAATGAATGAGATGGTATGCTGAGACATTTAATATACAGGAATGATAAGGGCAAGAGGTGGTTACGTGCTATAAGACATGGTACGTGCTAAAAGGAATCACCCAAGTTCCCAATGCGCTGTCAGAATAGAAAGTTTTCGGATGTACCCCAAAGAAGCAGATACTTAAATCCATTTCTCAGTACTCTTTTTAGCATTCGAAGTACAAGAGGTCTTGGTTATCTGTTATAAAGGCGGTGTCGTTTTCACAGTTCAATATTTTAGGAGACAAAACCTCTTAAGGTTTCGTCATCCTAGTAAATGTCAATATCCCCACTGCACAATTCAAAAAGAGTAAAACGCAACTTACTTAACCATTCATTCTGATATAAACTTTGTATAATCTAATAATCTAATTATAAATATTTATGAAATGATTAAATCACAGCATTTACATAGAAAATGTCACAGCCCTGTAAAGTTATTATTTAAAAGACGGTTACAGACGCCGACCACCGATGCCAAAGGCCAGTCACAAAAATGCTGTTCAGTTCATTGACCATACATTAAAATTCTGGTCGCCGATCCATCATTGTATTTGATGTCTGAATTCCCTTTCCGGGCCTCATAAATTCTTTATATATTTTATATTCACAAAGCCACGGACGGCAGTGCAGTGTTTAGAATACAAATTCATGTCAACGCGCCATACTTTACACAGAGTCTTTCAACAATCTTTCAATTGACATTTCTAAAAACTGGATTAATAGTAATTGATAGTAGCAGTAAAGGCTAGAGGGTGAAAAGTCGAAGAATTCATTACAAAAAGCGTCTTAAAGTTACCCGTGTAATAACGTTACTGCTGAAAAACGTTTGAGACACCCGATGGAATATGACAGTCACCCACTTTACTGCTGAAAAACGTTTGAGACACCCGATGAAATATGACAGTTGCTCTAAATTAAAGATGCAGATTAAGCAACTTTTATGTCAAGTCAAGTTGTTCGATATTCTTGATTTTTGGTGAAATATCATGTTCCCAAATCTAAACTTTCCCATCTCGTTCACAATTTTTCAATAACAACTTTTTGAAATGCTTATCCTACAACTCGTCTCTATTTTATACTTTTCAAATGTAATCTGGTTTGGA